TTTATTTTTTGTTTTTTTTTTAATTTTAAAATTTTTCACTCACTGGTCATTAGCACAAAGTGCTCATCGCCCGCCAAGACATGCGTGTAACACTCAGCATCCTCATTCTTCGATAGACACTCGTCCAGGTCTTCAATTCGAAATGGCTTGCGTATAATTTGACACTGCTCATCCGCCACGGTGGCCACACTGAAATTGCGCGCCACATTCGAGTCGCTTGGAAAGATATTGCGACCCGTGTAGAACAGTTCATTTGAATCTAACGGTTAATAAATAGCATCAGTTAGCTGCTTAAATGCGTGTGTAGTAGTAATGTGACACTTACGTGTGAGTATTATAGACCAATCGTTGCCGAAAGCGACGTCGGCTATTTTCAAACCCAGCGTTTTCAATGATTTCACGCATGTTGGCTTCGTAATTATATCGCCATGACTAGTGCCGTTGTGGTTTTTATTATTGTTGCCATTTTGGTTGGACGGACTGCCAATACCCAGTTGACCGTAGTGATTTTCACCCCAAACAAATAATCGTCCACTTTCTGTAATGTGAGACAGTAATTGCATTAGTCGAGAACTTTTTTCAGTGCCCTCAAAGTGTTTGCTTGTTTATGTGTCTTTGTGTTTGCTTGTTTGTGTGTCTTTGTGTTTTCAATATATAATCATATCTAGCATATATGAGCGGATGTTGCTTAATGTGTTGGTATAGGATGTAGGACGTGTTCGAGTGTTTTGTCTGCTTTGTGTTGTTGTAAAGCTAAAAAGTTTTGGTATTAACAATTAATACAAAGTAGAGCGCCGTTATTCTTTTTCTATAACCAACTTGTCGCCTAAAAGTTTCCAGAGCCAGACGGTGCGATGGGAGGAGGTTATTCGCTTTGTTTACAATTAGCAAAAAATCTTTTTTTTCTTCGTGAAAAGAATAAAATTAAATTTTGTAAATATTTTGGTTGATAATTTGTTCGTCTGTTGACCCTAATTATACTCTTGTAATATATTGCTCAGAGCATATTAGTTTTGTACACCCAACGTTCGCTTGTAAAGGGTGATCCATTTCAAGGTTCCCTACTATTTTAAAGAAAATAACACAGAAACTTCAAATTTAATGGGGAATAAACCTCCGACAGTACATTCTTTGGCATTTATTTATTTATTTTTTTTTGAAGATTATTTGTTTCAAATGTTGGCCACGGCTGGGTCTCAGATGGTCCATCCGTTGAGCCCGATTTTCGATGACTTGTTCGAGCATTTCGACTAGCAATTGGATGTTTTGCTCCAAGGCTTGAATCGAAGCGGTATTGCCTGATTAGGCTTTAGATTATAAATTAATCTATATGTCGACTGGTGCGTTAGAATCTGCTATCTTTATCGATTGCCCAGTGAGAGTTTCGTGACATTTCACCGTTTGTGTTATCGGTGCGGAGCTTCGAGCAAAGAGCCAACATTAAATTTTGTTTTAATATTTTTAAAACTTTTACCGAAACATTTCAATTGATGCACCAAGTTTGTGGCGCTGATTGCCTATCCCGTGGCAGAGTGCACGAGTGGTTTCAACGTTTTTAAAGTGGTCGTGAGGACATAAATGACGATCAACATGTGGGTCAATCAAAATACGTGTTCATCGGAAATTCCATCGAAACTGTGCCTGAATTCATCAAAAGTCAGCCGAAATCATCATTGAAATTCATGGAAATGGAATTGAACGTCTCCTAAACATCGATTCAGTCGCATTTTGACTGAACATTTGGGCTTGCGAAAGGAGTGTGCACGTTTGTTCCGCACAAATTTACTGACGACCGAAAATTGCTCAGAATCCAACATTCGAAAGACGATTATTTGACCAAAAAGCACATTTTAACCATTAACCATTCCCCGTATTCACCTGACATTTCACCGCCAACGAGCTAAAACACTCGTTCGACACGCTTTTGCACCATGCAAAGAGCTGTGAAGCAAAAGAAGAAGTTCTGAATAAAATAAATTTGTCCTGTTTACTTTGGATGACACCTTGTATATCACTTAAATTATATAGAAGATATAAATCGTGTTGTAAATCCGTCATTAATCAATAATTTGGTGTCCTTTGCTTGAGAAGTGAACCATCCTTCACCAATGACACATCGAATTCCCAGATAAATATGTATATGTATACACAACACTACCAAAAAAAGCAAAACAAACTTTGGGTCGATAGGCTTTTATTTTAGATTTGAATTCTAACTCAACCTAGATCCTAGTCAAATGAATGTTTTTCACGCCTTCAAAGCACTCAGAAATATAATTAGAATTGACTACTTAATACTCTCCTTCTATATTTTAGTGTGTTTGTTTGTGACGCACTATAAAAAAAAAAACATTGCCTATATTTAGGGTGAAATTAAATGAGCGCATTTATCAATATAAGGTGAATATATTTAATTATAACAACAAAAAATAAGTAAAATGTAGTCATTTTCACATTAAAAAACTTTATTTTTCTCTAACTTTAGGGCATAAGTACGCCCTTTCGTATTTACTTAAGTTTTCAGCAGCTAACAGAAGTGACGCCAATGCGTATGAGTGATTTTTCTTACTGAATAAATGTGATGCCTTTGGTTATCAGTTAAGTTGTTCATTATTGATTAATTGGAGGCAAATTTAGTTGTATAATTTAATAATATGAGATTTATAAAATGTAAAATATAGTACTATTATCCAAATGTGCTCTCTATGCGAACTTCGTGTCTTTGTCCCTATTTTCTCAGCTGTTTAAGACATCTAATTTTTCATTTTATTAATTTCACATCTATTCTAAACATTAGTTTACACATAAAACTACTTTATTACAATAATTGAACACATAGCCCAACATATCACCGACTCTTACTAAAATCATATCGAAACTCATGCCCCGAAATTCTTTGCCACGCAATCTTTGTTCTAGTTCTTTAAGTTGTGCTACTTTTGTTTCCTCTTTTAACCAACAAGAAATTCTTGGGTCATGTTGACAAATAAATTGCATGTTAAATGCAATTTATGAAATTGCTTAACTATTTACTTTTACTTTCGTTTTCCCTTCAAGTCTGCCCTGGCACATTAAACTTACGCCTAAACACTTGAACTCTTTGTCAATTGCCTAATTTCTCCGCCAACAATATAAAAAGTTAGACAGAGTTCAGCAACTGTTAAATAGAAACAAACAATAATACAACAAAAAAAAATTAAAAAAGTTATAATTTCGGTTGCGATAAAGCATTATAATGTCTCAAAATTTCGTAAAATAAAATGCGTCTGAACTATTTCCAGTTGTCTACAAGACTATTCTAAATGTTATAACTATTTTACAACATTTAACAGATATTTTACTCACAAAGCGTAGTATAAAGTTAAACAAAATGTAGGAAAAACTTTCTTACTAAATTTCACTGATTTACTGCTGTGAGCAAAAAATAGTAAGATTTTTTAATTTTAATTTCTACGAAAATCCATAGGTCGAAATATTTTTTCTGTATTGGTATGACTGCCTCTGCCAAATATAACATCCAAATAATCATTGGTGTTTAGTATACGCTGAAGTACATAGAGTGCATTCGGCTATTTTTACGATGAGTGTAATTATTCAACAAAGAAGTTACATTAAATTTTGTGTGTGGAATCAAATTTCTGGTGACGTAGAGTTGAGAATGTTAGAAAAAGACTTCGGTGATAATTGTTTGTCACGAGTGTTTTTGATTGGTGCAAATTATTCAAAGTGTGTCGAGAACGCTTTGACGACGAACCACGTCCAGTACGGCCATCAACATAAACTGATGACCAGCAGTAAGAGATCTTACTTGGATCGTTGGAATATCAGAAGGATCAGTGAAAACCATTTTGTAAGAACATTTGGGCCTAAGTAAAGTAAAAACACGATTGGTTTCAAAATCACAAAATTTTTTTCGAAAAAACAGCATGGCGTTAACGTCTGTGAAATAATGCTTTGCGACCACCAAGTTATCATGAAACTTATTATTACTAGCGATGAGCCTTGAATCTATGCTTACGATCTGGAAACAGACGATAACTCGGCCGACTATCGTTGCAGAGGTGAGCCGAAGTCGAAAAAAACACGTCAAAGCAGGTAAAAAATCAGGGTTATGTTCACAGCTTTCTTCGATTATCGAGTTTTGGTGCGCTCCGAATTCCTTACGACCAGCCAAACTGTCAACAAGGAAAACTATTTGAGTGTCTTGCAGCGTTTCGAGAAAAACGCGTGTAAAGTTTCACTTGTATATGTTTGTACCTGCGAGTGGTCGGTATTTAGAACGCTGGCATCCAAAACTTATTGAAGATACGACCTTGCCGATTTCACACGATATTTTTGAAAATAAAAACTATCGAGAAAATTTTTTTTTTTTTTTCATACCGTCACACTGGTCATATCCCTTAGGTTCCTTCTTTATCTAAATGTACTGTGATTCCAACACCCCTAAAACCTCCGAGTAACAAGTTTTAAGCAAATTTGGCAATATTTAAAAAAAGTTTAAAAAGTGGAGTTTGCCACTGAAAATCCGCCATTATTTCGAGGTTAGAAAAGAATAATGGTGTTGGGTAAAACAGACTTTGTATTCGAGCTTAGTGGCCCCAAAAACCATTGTGCACTAGTTTCGGTGAAAGGAACCCCTTATTTATTTTTTAATAATAATAATTAATTWTAATTAATAATTTTTTTTGTGGATATCTATAATCTGTGCCAAATTTCGTGTAGATATTTTGACAAATAAAAAAATTTTCCATGAACTTGATTTTGACCGCTCAGTTTGTATGACAGCTATGCTACAGTGGTCCGACATTGGCGATTTCGTTTTGGGAGAAACAGACGAGTGTAAAATTTCAGATCGTTGCCGACTCAGCTGGCCATGCTGATCATTTTTGTATATGTCTATTTTATAGGATCTCCAACGTTTTCTTTTGGGTATTAAAGAAAAAATTAATTTTCCTGTTTAAGGTATAAAAACTGTTTGCTGGACCATTTGTCATACAACTGGACAGGATTTCAGTGGAATAGTTAGAAAGAAGTGTACACAAATGTTTTGTAGCGCCTAATCACTTTGTTCAGCATAGAAGTAAATATTTGAAAAGCATAAACAGTAAGTAAGGTCGTGCACATAATTTTAGAGAATTTGCTTCTAACACCTCAGCCATACATCTATTAAAAGTCAAAAAAATAGCAGAACTTTTTATTAAAAAATCGATGTATTAGAATTAGTCAGTTGTTCTTAATATCCTTATGAACCAATTCAATACATATTAGCTGATATTTTAAAAATCAAATGCCTCGTGGACAGAGTCTCACTAAAATAGAGTAATTTTTTACAGAAACAATTCAAACTTGAAGTCTTAAAAGAGTTGCTTGGGAAAGTAACTGAGAAAAACTCCTTTTTCTTAAAGAAATACTCATTGTTTGAAATTTCTATGCTAAGGAATTCGCAAAACTTTTAAGATTTTCTTTCCATGTAGTCAGGTCTATGTAACCGAAACGAAACCGCATTTAGAAGTATATGTATATGTTCGGATAAGAGCTGTCAAATCGACAGACCCTTCTTTTCCGAATTATTTGGTGAGTGTTTTCTGCCGCTACAGCAAGAGCTGTAACAATTTTTAATGTCACGCATTCTATTCTATTTTCTAAAATTAGCTACGCAGCGGCACCAGCGATTGGAGAAAATTTTTCCTATAAATATATCTGCCACGGAGAGATAAATAGTTCTCACATATTTAGGTTATGTATGTTATAAACCCCTCATACTAGTAATAATTGAAATTGAGTTGTATTGGTTAGATTGTAATGGCTGATTGTTCGGAACACGCAATTTGTTGATATTTTTCTGTTGCTTCCTTACCCAATTGGAAATCAAATGCCACTTGACATTGCCTTCGTGCTTTCAAATGTTATTGTCAAATACTAAATGACCAACAGAACTAAAAATTTGTTTTGCGTGCCATCGAACGAAATCTATTATTTATATCTCCACTCCCATACACGCATTATAGATTTTAGCCAATTTCGTCTGTATAGACGCGAACTAGTTCTTAAATTTATGAGATATCGATTTGAAATTTCGCACACATTCGTTTCTAGCCAAGAAGCTGCTAATTTGTCGGAATCGCCTATATCGGTCCACTATAGCGTATAGCTGTCATACAAATGGACCCATCAAAATCTAGTTCTTGTATGGAAAACTTTTTTATTTGAGAAGATATCTTCACGAAATTTGACATAAGTTATTGTCTAAGGCAATGATTCAAACGCCGAAAAAAAAAATTTCAGATCAAACTACTATAGCATATAGCTTTCATACAAATGAACCCATCAAAATCGAAAGAACTGTGGAAAACTTTTTCATTTGACGAGATATCTTTACGAAATTTGGCACGGATTATTGTGTGAAGCAGCGGTACAATCTCCGAAAAAATTGTTCGGATCAAACCACTATATTATGTAGCTGCCATACAAACTGACCAATCAAGTTCCTGTAAATAAACTTTTTTTTTATTTATGAAGGGCTTTACAGCTTTGGTGCAAGCGAAGTTAACGTTTTATCTTATTATTCTCCAGGCCGTGTACTTATCGCACTGCCCTCTTATTTATAAGCGCATTACATGTTTTTTATTTGAAATATTTTGCAAATTACCACAAATGACCGCACTTTGATGCGGTCCTGATATCAGCCGTTTCACCGGATCATTTTTGATGTAGAAGTAGCTCTGCGTGTTCTCAGCCAAATGCGATTTGCCGAGCGTGAAAATGGCGCCAGTGTTCGGTATATCCATTTTTCAATTTTAATTTTCAAAATTTTAATGCAAAACACTCTCTCAGTTAATAAATTGTGCAATAATATTGAACAATATTATTTATTTTATACAACGTCTGCGCTTATTTGTTTTAACAACATTTTTTTACAGTTATTTCTATGCATTGCTTTTGTCACTGCACTTTCCGGGCATAAATCGGCGACGGAAATCATATACACATGCATACGTACAAAAGCAACAGTAAATGTCACTAATAAACGCGGCGTCGCAACGCATCGATTTTTATTTTATCGCTGGCGTTTGACTATGCACTGTACTGCAAAAACCGTTAACCGGGCAAATAGCACAACGCGTTAAAAAATTATAACTTAGCATACATATAGGCGTATGAGCATGCCTTTGCTTTGTAAGTGCATAACGGCAGCGCTGCACGCCTGTAACACCGCCACTTTCGGTATTTCCACTTTTTACCGTTAGCGCTATAGTTTTGTTTTTTTGTATTTTTCCTTTTGTTTTTTGTGTAACTAGTGCCGTTATTTTCCTACACTTTCCTATTGGACGGCGTCGGTTTTGTGTTTGCGTGCGCGACGCGTAGTTACCGGCGGCGCGCTGACGTCTCGTTAATATCCGCGGAGTGTGTTGTGCTGTGGTCAGCCGGACGGTTGCTACTAGACTGGACATGCAGTCCTTTTTCAAGTAATCGTCCACCAAAGTGGCCGCAGGACAGCCGCTTAGGCGACCACGACGCTTTCGCTGTTGCTTCTGTTGGCGCTGGCAGGGCAGGCGATTGATGTAGCTTACAGTCACTTAACTGTTGTTTTTCAATACACAAATGACGTGCATGTACATACATATATGTATGTGTATGCGTGAGTTTCGTGGCTTTAGTGGAAGTGGGGTCCAAAAAGTTGTTTATAAAGATATATGGATTGATATATGTAAATATGTAATTGTATGTGTATATATGTGAGTGTTTGTATTTGATTGTATGCATGTCCGTTTGTGTAATTGTGTATGCGTGTTTCTACATTTATATAATTGTAGTCATGTCTGTATGTGTGTACGGTTCTTCGCTTTGTAAATTTCTACGGAATTGGGACATTCATTCACGTTTCGGTAGTATTGGTTGTTTAATGTTTGAAAATAACTGTAACTTGTACTTGATTATATACTATATACTACTTATATATATGTATATACCATACATATTTACATAAGTATTTATGTGTGTATGCTTGTACATTTTAGCCCTATGCTTTGTCCACTTTGCATGTCCTGTAGCACGCACTTTGGCGCCCAAACCGTACGAACAGCTGTGCGGTGTCGGTTTCTTTCACCAAGCGCTAAACGTCAGTAGTTAAATGGACATTGTGAACGCGGCTGTCTGTCATTACTGCGAAACGTGGACGTTGGTCGTCTAGTACTTCGGTTTGGTTTTTCGTTCTTGTTTCAGTGAAGTTGTCATCCGTTCCGTGTAAAGTGATTTCTGATTTACATATACAAACAAACAACTACGCTAAACACATATACATAATTATTTTTCTGCACACATGCATGCAACTTACTACACACATATATAGAATTTTCTACACACATGTGTGCATGTTTGGCAATGTAAATAAATTAAATTTTTATTGTGTCTGTCTGTGTGAGCATGCATACGTTTACTTATATTCGCTGTGTTTGACTTTAATTTGTATATTTATGCTACAAATACATTTTATTAACCTACATACATGCCATTAATACGTATTTTGTATTTCCATTCATCACTTTTTTTCCTCTCTTTCAGCTGCACTTTCCTTTTTACGGCGCACAGACGTCCATGTCAAAGATTTCGGGGTAAGATAATTGCTTTGTTGTGGCTAAATTTTTGACTGCACTCATACATATGCACACATATATGTATATATATATATATATATATATATATATGTATATATTAAGCACATGCATACATGCTTACAAATACAAAATTACATATACATTTTGATTTCTACATATACATATGCACTACTAGAACTTCTTTCTATATACAGTACTATTTTCTCTTAGTCAGTAAAACTTCATTGGCTTCAATTAATAACTGTATCTTTGTACTCGTGCGACTCACTAAACTTGTAATGATTAGTTAGTTTGTTGTTGTCAATTACGTACTCCACTGAGTGTAATAATAACGACAGTGAATAAGGCTAATATATTGATACATATATATGTACTTATGTATATATGCGTGTGTGCGTTATCGGATTTCATGCTGATCATCACTGTTTTGCCCAATTTTTTAGTTAGTTAGTTAGTTTTTTAGTCTTCGACTGAAGGGTCTTCCACTTGAAAGTGTGAAAAACAAGTATTTTTTTTAGAGATGCTTTGTTTTAAAGTCGTATTTTATTTAAAATATAAATAAACAAGTAAGGAAGGAACATTTTCTACTCTTGCAACTTGCAAGCATCAAATCCATGGAAATACCTTAAGGTGTAAAACTTCAAACAGAGGAGCGGGTTTCAAACAATTTTATATATATAGTATATATCGTCAACTAAAATACAAAATAACGTTGAGTATTTTATTGATTACAATTCACTCCTTCAAATTACATGCTTATAAGTACATATGTATGTATGTATATATGATCAATATTTTAAGGTTCTGCCATCAGATATAACCCATTTTAAACCAAAACTTACATTTTGTATCATTCTCTTGAAAATTTCCGAAAATGTTGTTACGCTATTTTGCATTTTAGGTGGCGATATACTATATATTAGGTACTTATACACTGACCGATATATTCGGCATAAAATTTGTTAGAAAAACTATAATCATTGTACGTATTATAGTATATGGGAATTGGTGTAGTATCGATCCGACTTTATCTACAAGTACTAACTAGTATAATGCCACATAGTAAAACAATGCTCCATGGGTTTTATTAAGGTATCTCATACACAATCACCAACCATATGGACCAAAGCCTGCCGGATATTCGAAAATCCTGCATATATGAGGGCTAGTTCAAGCTCAAATCGAACAAAAATATTAGTAACTTTATGTATCAATATGGGTTGAATTGGGTGAATACTTCTCTGAGCCCCCATATACTTAATATAAAGATTTCCGAACTTCTGGGTGACTTTAAACTGAATATATCGGCCAATATTTGAGTCAACTCAATGAAAATTAAAAAAACATATTTTACTCATAACACTGAATACCTAAAATAGATAGAATTGGGCGAAATTCACAAAGCTACTATTGTCCCGAAAGAATTCTCTCTGAATTTCAATTGAATATCCCATACATTGACCGATATTACCGGTCAAAAGTCTGCAAGAAATGCTGCAGTTCCCATTTGCAGTTCCCAGGACCTTGAACAGTTATTATTCGATTTCCCAAATTTGGTTGAAAACGGGTGGGACGAATCTCGATATATGTGTTTTTACCTAAAAGTTGACGGTTCCACGCCTATCCATTAAAGCCCTCCCACCCCATTTCGGGGTCAAAACTTAGCGTCTTTGGTATATTTAGTTATTGATTTACCGCGTAGTTAGTAGTTTTTAACAGTACAGTTATATGGGAGTGTTCGGCTCATCATCCGATTTCATCCATTTTAATACTGTCCGTATTGGTGAAGTTGGCTCTTGTAGCTTAAATGGTTTAAAAGATATGTACATTGAACTTATTAGAGAGAGAGAGGGGCCCTTGGGGTTATCTTTGTTAATACAATAACGATTTATTTCTATAATATATATACAGTTGAACTTCCATAACTCGAAGGTCTCCATAACTCGAACTCTGGTAGATCGAAGTTTTTTGCGGGTTATGGTGGTTCGAGTAAGGGAAATTCAGCTGTACATTAATATTATGTATTATTGTTGGTTCTTCTTAGCTTCTCCCATGGCTTTTGTTTTCAATCCGGCATATAGTATATTATAAATTAGCATGATTTTTACATTATTGTAATCCGGTGTATGAGACTCTCAATATAGTTAATAATTATATACCTCTAACTCATGTATTTGAAATACTTTTTGTTATAATGATGATGATCAGGAGTGTGGAAAGAAAGATGCCTAAGAACGCATTATATTTTCAAAGATATTGTTGTATATAAATTTATCTATGCCAGTTATTTACTAGTAATGTTCAATGTCGCATATAAAAACAAATTTTTCAATCTTCAATTTATTTTTCCCTTATCTAAGGAACTTTGAGGGTAATAAATATATAATCATTGACTTTTTCGACGTCATTTTTTACTTTTTTACGATTTTTTGCAAGTTAAACTTCGATGTTTGAGAAATCATAATTAATTTTAATTTTAATTTCAGTTTTAATAGAGGAGCTAGCGTAAAAAATGTCTGCTGGAATTCTTGATTTTTCTCGTAGTTTAATGCTCTTTGCCAGACCGACAACTGTGTTTATTTTCAATTAAATCAATGATTTGTTTCCTTAATGATTTGTTTAAAATAAATATACATTTAAGTATGTTTGTTACTCATATGCCGTGTTGGACCAATACACTTTTGGATTACAGATTTTGTACATTAAATATTAGAAAAAATTTCTTACAGCTTGTGGCTAATAGAGAATTTCCCTTAAAGTTAACTACTTATTTGTTAAAATTTTGAAAAAGTAGAATTCTCTGGAATTTATCCTTAACTACACGAGCGTGGCTGAATTAATCTTGATTAGCACCACGGATCCTGTAGAAAAAATTTAAATAGCTAAGTTGTATGTAATGAAAAAGTTCCGAAAAATTGCTTTGGAAAGCAATTCAAAGTTCATGTAGAAAATTGCCCACGAAATATGCAGCTTTCCTCAAATAGTTTTATGATTTCTTCCACATCCATAGTCTTAGAAACTACCATACCTCACTTGAGTCATAAATTCCGGCCCATATTACAGATGCCCGTTTTCCTATACTAGTTTTAAGAATTATTATGAAACGCCTCGAAACTACTTCCCATTCTTTACTTTTCAAACTATCGATTATGGCATTTCCTCGTAAAATCATTTGTTAAACCAAATATGATAGAGTGTTTACGACTAATGATTGATTAGCTTGAACTCTGCTTTAAGTAAATCTACCTACTAACATTTGTATATATCTATATATAGCGCTTTTCGTCATTCCTCAACCTTTTGCGCGCGATTCAAATTCGTTCTGGCTGCGGTCGGTAATCAAGAAAATGTAAATACCTTAGCATTAGCATCGAATTACGCTAATAAATTTCATTAATTTTGGCAAATTCGGACTAAATTTGACGCGGTTTTGTGGGTATTACACAATGTAAATTATTATATACTATATTTAAATATCGACATAGGCTATTTGGTATGTTCTAGGGCCAAGAATTTACATAATAACGAAATTTTTGCCAAATTTACTTCTATATAGTCGTAAAGACATGCGTAAGGGTGGTTCTTAAATTTATGGGGATATACTTTTTTGGCCCCAGAAAATGAATCCAACGTATACATAGCTCAGTAAGAGCTTAATACCTTAAGTAAGAGCTGAGACCATGCCGAGACTACGAAAAAGAGAAGTTGTAGAGTTTTTCTCACTAAAATGTTTATATATTACAATTTCCATTTGTTCTTCTTCTAAAATAAAGCTTAATAGTTCACTTGCTTACAAAAAGTTTTAATTCTTATACCCTGAAAAGGGTATATTGAGTTTGTCACGAATTTGTAACACCCAGAAGGAAGGGTCGTAGACCCTATGAAGTAGATATATAAATGATCAGTATGTTGAGTTTAGTCAATTTAGCCATGTCCGTCTGTCTGTATATATACGAACTAGCCTTTCAATTTTTAAAATATCGTTTTGAAATTTTGCAAACATCATTTTCTCTTCAAGAAGCTGCTCATTTGTCGGAACTGCCGATATCGGACCACTATAACACATAGCTGCCATACAAACTGAACAATCGGAATCAAGTTCTTGTATGGAAAACTTTCACATTTGACAAGATATATTCACGACATTTGGTATAGATTATTTTTTAAGGCAACAATATAATCTCTGAAGAAATTATTCAGATCGGATTACTATAGCATATAGCTGCCATACAAACCGAACGATCGGAATCAAGGGCTTGTATGGAAAACTTTCGCATTTCACAATGTATTTTCACAAAAGTTGGCACAGATTACTTTTTAAGACAACAATATAATCTCCAAAAAAATTGTTCAGAACGGATTACTAAAGCATATAGCTTACATACAAACTGAACACATAGAAATGCACCTGTGAAGGGTATTTAGCTTCGGTGCAACCGAAGTTAAAGTTTTTTCTTGTTTATATTTATTTCATTCCGAGTTGCACCACCCTAATGCAAGTAAGTTAACTTTTTTCCCCGTTTTTTCTTACGCATAAATTTCTTTGTTAATTATCCGTGGGCGGTTTTACACTTGGAATTTTGTTGTTCTTACGTGTGTTCCTCTCATTTGTGTTTGCTTTACAACCGTTAGGCTCGATTTTATAGCGACTTGTATCCTTCCACATCCGAAACGACTGTGCGTTAATTACGCATATTAATGTGGTTACAGAGAGGCTATTCGCCATTCCTTATAAACAACACGTATGACCTTGAAGTTAAGCAATTTTCTTCAAACAAACCCTTGTGCTGTTCTCTTGAAATAGTTACTCACTCTCTGCTAAATCTCAACCTCCCGCCGTTTAAGATTTGCGTAGGCGTTTCTTGGAGAAATTAAATATTTGTTTGTATAGATGATACAATGTAATCCAGAAGTACAATCTTACATTATTTGAGTTCTCCTATAGTTCTTACAAGAATTTCTATATGTATAGGGTGACAAATAGTAAGTGGTTCTTT